TGAATATGAATCAATTCAGAGGGCAGCTGCAGGCAAAGGAAGGTTTTTGCCTGGGTTCAGATTCACTTCCTCTCACTGTGTATCTCTGCTCCACAGTAATACACAGCCGTGTCCTCAGGTTTAAGGCTGTTCATTTGCAGATAGAGGAGGCTGTTGGAATTATCCCTGGAGATGGTGAATCGTCCCTTCACTTTATCCAAGTAGCGAATGTCAGATGAACCTGCATTTATACTTGCAACCCATTCCAGGCCCTTTCCCTGAGCCTGTCTTCCCCAGTGCATCCATTTGCTGCTGAAGGTGAACCCAGAGGCTCGACAGGAGAGGCGGAGGGACTCCCCAGGCCTTTTCACATCCCCTCCAGACTCAACCAGCTGGACTTCTGACTGGACACCTAGAAAGAAAGGCATTTTAAGAGACCCGGTGTATGTCTTTAACACCCATCATGTACTAGCTGTTTTCAACAGAAAGGATGGATTTACCTCCAAAGGCTGCTGAAAAGAAAACAAGCTGAAGCAAAGCTATCATTTTCCCTGTGTGAAATGTTGTCCCAAGCATGCAGGCAAAGGGAGGGTGTCTGACTGCTTTAAAGAGGAAGTTTTCTCTGAAGATTTACATACCCATTAGGATAAAAGGACTGGCAGAAACATTTGGCAATGTAGAACTGGAGGTGTGTCTGCTCTTTGCAAAAATATCCTTCTTTGCTACCATACAATGCACACAGCTCTTTACAGTGGTGGATTTATGTATCCGTATGAGGTTAGAAGAGCATCACAGGATTCTGCTTTGAACATGTCCAGTGCCCTTATTAAGGATGGCTGTGAATGGCTCATTAACATTAATGGAAATATCACATGAGTTTTCAGAAAGTTTAAATTCGAAATTAAATAAAAATGTAGATAAGAGCTCAGCATAGAGAGAAAAATGTCCAGTGCCATCTCGTAAAGGATTTAAATGAAAAGGTAGAAAATACAGTTTATCCTGCCTTAAAACCAAGTAATAGAGCACTCTAAGCAATGAGAGTCCTTTATAATGTGTTCTTTGCAATGTGTGAATGAGGAAATATGAAATATGTGTTACATCCAGGGTTGCTAACATGCTGCCCATAGGTGCCCATGCATCTGCAGAAAGCTTCCCTGATTCTCCTTCCCCAAGAAATTAGCCTTTATATAAGCTCAGTCTATATAACAGGTTGTGGTGTGTGATGAGTTGGTTGTGGTGTTTGTGCATAGTGCCCATGACAGATCTTCCTGATACCCAAAAGGGCCCATGAGTTGTTGGTGGCCCCTGGCCTACATGAAGCAGACACTTGAGTCACAAAGAAAACCCCAAAACGGGAGTATCTTTCTCAGTGCAAAAAGTCTCTATTGGTATATCCAAATGTAGAACTAGGCACAAATTGTTTGGATTAAATCCTGTTTACACATGTACATGATTTACATAAGAAAATATCACATGCTCATGCCCTTGGAATTGTTCCCCATGAGCTGATGACACACAGAGAATTGTGAGAAGAAGAGCAGCTTCACAGGAACAGAATTTGCAGCTGACTGAGGTGTGTATTCCTGTTAACTTGCATAGATAGAGCCCTCAGCTCTTTTGATGAATGACTCTCCCTGTGTGGGTGGAAATGTTTGTAACACATGCATTTCTGAATCCTGATAAATGTCCAGCCCACAAGAGAACCCCCACATACTCTTTTATGAGAAGCAGAACTCTGTGCTTGGAGACAAATGTGTGTTGCTCTAAAGGTTTCCATATTCCAACCTGTATATGTAACGAAGTACTTCTGTTCCTACAGTTAATGAAAGAGTATCTTATGGGGGTGGTGAATAGATGCACTACATAGAAATCATGCGATCTCAACAGAGGCATGTGCACACATGTGGACAGTGATTTACACCCAATATGTTCAATTAAACATAAAAAGGCCCTAATATTTTAGAGAAATGTAGAGCGTGAGCATGATTGTTACATAACCCATGGAAAACAGTGATAGAAACCAGAATTAAACCCTATGTAGGAAGGTGTTGAAGTCAGGCTCAAGATTTCTATATTCCCAAGAGCTATGCTCCCCCCTTGGTTGTTCATCATCAAATTGCCACATGAAGTAAATTAATATTGCAGAAGTTCCCTTACCTTTAGAAAAAGCCACCAAGGAAAACAAGAGCAACAAGAACTCCATAATGTTGATGAATGAATGTGTTAGAGATACAGGAAAGAGGGGACTCTGGGCTGGGAAGCAAGTGAAGGTTTTATATTCAGGGCATTCATCCAAAACCACTCCCAACTTCCTGGTGGCACTTACATGAGACCTCCCCAGTGAGGCACAGGAGGCAGATAAAAGCAGTTGGGGGCATCAGGATTTGCTGCTGGCTTCCTCTTTGTCCCCTGCACACACAAACACACACAGGGAAATGCACACAGAGTAGAGTTCTAATGAAGGGGGGTTGGATGGAATGTACAATCCAATTAAAGACAGTGTTGGAGGAAGGTTTGGAAGACATTAATGTACTGGGGATGGATTTTTCTTTATTTTATACAGTGGTACCTTGAGTTACATATGCTTCAGGTTACATACGCTTCAGGCTACAGACTCCGCTATCCCAGAAATAGTACCTTGGGTTAAGAACTTTGCTTCAGGATGAGAACAGAAATCGTGCAGTGGCGGTGCAGCGGCAGCAGGAGGCCCCATTAGCTAAAGTGGTGCTTCAGGTTAAGAACAGTTTCAGTTTAAGAACGGACCTCCAGAATGAATTAAGTTCTTAACCCAAGGTACCACTGTACATTAAAACTGCTGGTAGTGGTGGATAGTTCAAGAGACTTGCTGCTGCTGCTGCTGCTGCTGCTGCTGCTGCTGCTGCTGCTGCTGTTATTTCAGCTTCCCTTCCCCATGCACAGATATGATGCTGGTGTGATACAATTATAATTTCAGATACAGCTTGTTTAAAAAATGTGCTGCGAGGGAGCTCTGCTACGTGAACCTGGAGAAGAGGAATTTTAAGTAAATAATAGAAAATGTAAGAAATAGGTTCCATCTTTATATTCACACCCCAGTGCACCCGTCCTCCACTCCTGAAATGCCCACCACACTCCCAAATGCAACACCATTACATATTATCTCCCTTCATGAAATCACATCAAGAGTCTTTTAAAAAAAATTTTTAAAAATGCTTTCTCTGCAAGGAGGGAGATATTGGAAAGTTTCCTTTGCATAAATATTTGGAATAGTCCTATACATTTGAAAGGAGGCATTTTGCCTTCATAGGCAAAAGAAAGAGACAAAGTTGAGCCAATTCCACCCCCCTCCCTTTTGCATGGGGAAGGGTTGACTGACAAAAAGTCATAAGCACACAAGGGTTGTGGTTCAGGATGTAGCAGGAGCATGGAGGTTGTCTGGGTGAATAAAGAAGGAGTCCTCCTCAATAGCATTTGCCTTTGGACAGGGGTGGGGAAACTCATCCAAATGTTTTGGGAGTCCAAAGCCTTTCATCCTTGGGGTAGGCATTGTGAAATTGCGGAGAGATAATGATGATGATGATTAATATTAATATTATTTTATTATAGTTTTATTTTACTCTTCATCATAAAATCTTGGGACATTTTACAAAATTAAAATACAATGTAAAAGCACAAATAAGTAGTTAAAACGTTAAGAACGTCAGCAGTCATGACTTGTCACAGCAGCTGTGGGGGAGACTTTGGCCTGACTGTGGTTGCAGCTGAGGAACTTTTGCCAATGGACTGAGAGCGCAGAGATAATTGCTTGAAAGTTTCTCAGGGACTCAAAGTCTCAGGGGGCTCATAGAAAGATGGTTGACCAGGAAATATCTGAGAAAGTAATTGCTTCGCGGATGAAATCACCAACTGTAATTCGAGCAGCATTTTATTTCAGTCATGGCAGATGGGGCGTTTTCTCATCTTTGCACCATGACTGCCCCCTTGTGAGAAACAAGAGGGGGAAGAGGTATGCTTTTGTGACTAGATGCTTAATGTACAAAATGACATTTGGTAGAGATTAATGGGTTTTCCTTCCCGTGAAGCCAAATTCTCCTTTAGACCATTTGATCATCCTGATATTTTCATTTTCATTCATTCCCAATTGCTTTACAAAAATTTCTATGTTTATCAATACTCAAAGCGTTTTAAAAACAAATCAGCAATGATCATACCTTTGTCACAATAATGCAATGCAATTAAACCTTGCTTTACCAAACTTCTCACTGTAACCTCTGTCTACTAAACATGCTCTATACCTTTCAGTCTCACCAGATGCATTTCTTTTGATTGTATAAATCCACTAGCAGAAGGAGAGTGACTATATCTATATCTATATCTATCTATCATCTATCTATCTATCATGTATCATCATCTATCTATATATATCTATCATCTATCTAATATATTTACAATATTTGTGTGTTTTGATAGGCGGCTCTCTGCATAAAGAAAAGCCCTTGTTACACATGCATATCTGAATTGTCATATATGTTTGCTTTGCAGGAAGACCCTAAGCAGAAGCAGAGACTTGTGTGTGAAGGTGTCCTGACTCCAACCTTTCTCCCAATGAAGAAATTTCCACACCCAGTGGCCATGTAAAATGCTTTACAATAACTAAATAAACTTTATGCACTACATAAAGAAAACATCATATGACCTTGCCAGAGACAAGTGCACACACGTGAGCCCTGAAAAGACTCTAACTTCCAAAAAAACCACCAACCATAAACAGACAGCACCATGTGTGTCATATAGTTCATGTAAAAGAGGGATAGAAGCAAGAATTAAACCACAAGATGCTGCTTGAACTTCTGTACAAACCTGACCTTAAATATGTCATTGGGCTTTATAGACTTAAATAAGAAACAGGTGGGGGAGTCCTGACAAGCTAAAGGGGAACTACATGTTTCTTCAGTCTCCTGCAGCTGAATCATTTCAAAGAGCATCTGTGGGCAAAGGAGGGTTTTTGCTTGGCTTCAGATTCACTTCCTCTCACCGTGTCTCTTGCACAGTAATAAACAGCCGTGTCCTCAGGTTTCAGATTGTTCATTTGCAGATAGAGGAGGCTGTTGGAATTGTCCCTGGAGGCGGTGAATCTTCCTTTCACTTTATCCGAGTAGTAAATGGAATTAGATTGGGGATATATGTAGGCCACCCATTCCAGGCCTTTCCAAGGAGCCTGTCTCACCCAGTTCATGTAAGCATTCCCAAAGTTGAACCCGGAGGCTTGGCAGGAGAGGCGGAGGGACTCCCCAGGCCTTTTCGCATCTCCCCCAGACTCAACCAGCTGGACCTCTGATTGGACACCTAGAAGGAAAGACATATTGAGAGACCAGATCCCTGTTATTAACACCCAGAATGTACCAGCTTTCTTCGACTGGAAGAATGAATTTACCTTCCAAAGCTGCTGAAAAGAAAACAAGTTGAAGGAAAACTATCATTTTCCTTCTCTGATTCTTTGAGAGAGTTAAGCAAGAAGTGGTCACACGTATGCATGGAAAGGGAGGTTCGCTGACTGCTTTAAAGTGGAAGCTCTGTCTGAAGATTTACATACCCATCAGTATAAAAGCACCAACAGAGACTCTGGGCAATGAGGGACTAGAGTCATTTCTGCACTTTGTCAGAACTCTTTTGCTGGGTTTGATGGGGAAGGAGATTAAGAAATTGGACCAAAGACTATTCATGTACACCACAGTAGCGGCAAGGAATATGCTGGCCCAATATTGGAAATTACAAGAAGTTCCTACCATTGCGGAGTGGCAGACGAAAATGATGAATCATGCCGAGTTAGCCAGACTGACTGGCAGGATTCGGGATCAGGATGATCAGAGATTCCAGGAAAGTTGGAGTAAAATTTTTGTGCACTTAAAGGATAACTGTAAAAATTTAAAGACACTGGCAGGACAGAAGTAACTCCTACAATGTATAAGATAGATATAAGGTCGACAAACTAAAATACATGACTGGAGAGAACAAGGGATACCTGCTGAAGGTAAGGAGGGAGGTCGCAAGCTTGGCAGAGCTAAAAGTGTATATGTGGGCTAAAGAAATGTAAAATGAATGTGAAAATAAAATAATAAAAAAATATTGATGAAGAAATGAAATGACTGTGGAATGCTCTCTCTTAAAGGCTTTAAATAAGGTTACATGAATAGCACATGTAAAAGAACCCTGTCTTAATGTGGAATAGCAGAGCACATGACATATCATTCTCATCGCTCCTTGTTATTGCTCTTCTCAAAGCATGGAGAATCCTGTCTTTGTAAGATGAAAAAAAGAAATACAAAAGCTTTGTTTACATTGGGTGGAGTGTTAGATGGGTGCACAGGCACGTTCAGAAACATTCCCTGTTTGCATGTCAAGGCATCCTCCCTTTGGTCCTCCCCAATACCAAGAATACGTTATACAACAACCAATACTTGGGTGAAATCAAGCCACAACTTTATTGACAACAAAAGTTTGGAATAGATATAGGTTATACCCCACCCCTTCCTGCAAAAAAAACTTTTATTTTGGGGACAAGAAGAAATGAGGGAGTCCCAGACCTACATCAAGGGGTATCTCCCCCACTGGATTGTACCTGGGGAGTGTTGTGGCACCTCACCCCTGCCTGGGCGTCCGGACAGAAGCATCTCCCCATGATTCCTTTAACAGGATATCCCATTTTGAAAGCAGCGGCTACAACCTCCCTTTAGAACAAGACTATACCTATTTAATGCCTAAACTGTCAAAGTTGAGACAATTACAATGAGGATGGCAAAAAGCAGATTGACTGAGTGGGAAAATTTCAACCAGGCCCCAAATTTGGTGATTGGCTATGCCATAGCAAGGTGGAGCAGAACAACATGCAATAGCAATATGTAAAGTGGGTGGGTGGAGATCCAACAAAAAGTGGCTGCAGAACAAGCCACGGGCCTGTATTATATACTGGAGGAATGAGCTTGCCCATGCTTGCTCCCGATTCACTGATTAGGCAAGTGGACAGGAAAATTACTCAGGCAGCAAGTTTGGCCGAGAGCCTTCCTGTGCTGCCAGAGAATCCCAAGTCAGATTGTGGCACGCAGGGGAATGCCAGTTCACAATGGTGCCCAACAGAGAGGGCAAGAACACTTCTCACAGTATCCTCTCTCTCCAATGAAAACTTTAAAGAAGCTCTTTAGTGTAGCCAATAGAACAAGCTGTTAGGATATTTCCGTTCCACCTTAAAACGGGAGCAGGCTGTTGTGTGTCACAAGCCCTGCGTACTTCCTGCCCACAGGAAGGCCACAATGTTACTTGGGATTCCCTGGCAGCACAGGAAGGCTCTCAGTCAAACTTAAGCATAACTCAGAGGTGTGAAAAGACAAAACACAAATGATCATGTATTTACAAAACTGCATATTGAATTTAGGTGGTAGAAAAAAATGTTGCAGCCAAGCCACTTGATACAGCATTGTACTGATCCACATTGGTCTGTTTACACTGTGTGTCCCTTCTGTAGGTTTTCATCAGTATAATCATTTCTGCATTAAGGTACAGATTGAAAAGACAGGCAGTTCGGATGTTGTTCCGCATCATCTGTGCAATGTAGAAATCTCTGTTAAAAGTTTCACAGTGTATTTGTTTATAGAAGCAGGACTTCTACTTTTGGAACAGGGCCCAATAGGCTTTGTCTCACTGTGTCTTCTTGGGCACAGAAATACACAGCAGAGATGATACAAGCTTCTTTTATACTTTTATACTTTAAAACTGCTGGTTGTGGTGGAAAGTTCAAGGGACTGGCATCTATTATTATTATTGTTATTGTTGTTATTATTGTTATTGTTATTTTGCTTGGTGAGGAGTTGATTGACAAGAAGTCGTAAGCACAAAGGGGTGTGGCTCAGGATGTAGCTGGAACACAGAGGTTGTCTGGGTGAATTAAGGAGTCCTCCTCACCAGCATTTGCCTTTGGGCAGGGGTGGGGAAACTCATCAAAATGTTTTGGAACTCCAATGCCTTTCATCCTAGGGGTAGCCATTTTGAAGTTTGAGAGATGATAATGATGGGGTGATGATGATGATTTTATTATAGTTTGTTGGGATACTGCCAGGGAGACATAGTCCATCATGACTCCACGTCGTCTCCGGACGTCCATCGATCTCCCGTAGACACGCAGTATCGGCAATTAGCGACACGAGCTCCAGAAATAGCTTGCCACATTCCAGAGCTGATGCACGCTCTATCAGCAGATAATGCACACCGAAAGATGCACGCAGGAGAGCATATTTACAAGTTTATTCAGCGTTGGTCAGAACAAAGAAAAAACATGACTGCCTGCTTCAGTGTCTCAGACACAGAGAGAGAAACGAAAGCAATAGAAAAACATAAACTTCCTGTGAACAGGAAATACGCAGACTCTGTGACTCACAAAGCCTGCTCCCTTTTAAGGTGGAACGGAAATATCCTAACATAGTTATATATCACTTTTCATCATAAAACCTCAGGATGGTTCACAAGATTAAAATACAACTTAAAGTATTTTACTGTGAAATGGTCAAATAAAGTGGAAGAAAATTTAGATTAAATATGAAGAAACACTGTAGATCACAGCTCAGCAAAGAAATGAAATGTCTGTGGTATACCCTCTCTTAAAGGCTTTAAATAAAAAACAACAATACAAAAATCATATGTATAAGAATCCCATCTTAATTTAGAGCATATGATACAACATTCTCATAACTCCTTGTTCTTCTCAAAGCATGGGAAATCCTGTCTTTGTAATAGGCAAATGAGATATATAAAAGCTGTTTTTACGTAGGGGTGTCAGTAAACATGGTGGTCATGACTGCACATATATGCATGTTCAGAAACATTTCCTATTTACATGTCAAGGCATCCTCTTTAGGCCTATTTGAACAGTAAAAAGACCCTAACTAATAATAATAATAATAATAATAATAATAATAATAATAATATGAACAGTGAGCATCCTGTGCGTTACATAATTCATGTTAAAGAGGGATAGAAGCAAGAATCAAACCACAAGGTGCTGCTTGAAGCCATGTAAAATCCTGACCTGAAATGTTGGAAATGTAATTAGACTGAAGGTACATTCTTTCACCTTTGGTGGACATGCCCAAGGATTAAGACATACTGGGAGATGATTTATAATGAAATGAAAAAGGTATTTAAATATACCTTACTGAAGAAACCAGAGGCCTTTCTCCTGGGCATGGTCGGCCAATTGGTGCCAAAGAAGGATAGAACTTTTTTTATGTATGCAACAACAGCAGCAAGAATACTCATCGCGAAGTATTGGAAGACACAAGATTTACCCACCCGGGAAGAATGGCAGATGAAGTTGATGGACTATATGGAAATGGTGGAAATGACTGGCAGAATCCGAGACCAGGGAGAAGAATTGGTGGAAGAAGACTGGAAAAAGTTTAAAGACTATCTACAGAAATATTGTAAAATTTATGAATGTTAGAAAAATGTTGGAATGAAATTATATGGCTTTAGTAGAAATGTTATAAGGAAATAAGTATAAATAGATTAATAGAGTATTAAAGGAAAAATAAGGTTAGAATGTGTTAAGATAATTATAGGATAGAAAACAGAGGAAGATGGAAAGGAATTGCTGAAACAATTAACAGAAGTGGAATACAAAAAGGGAGGTGTGAGGAGGTCGTGGAAATAAGTGAATGAAAGATAAGATATTGATTTTTTTTTATTTATTTTAAACTGTTTTTGTTTTGTTTTGTTAGTTTAATGTGTTTAATGTGTTTAATGTGTCAATGTTACATTAAACATAGTGTTTTTGTATTGTATTGTATTGTATTGTATTGTATTGTATTGTTTTTGTAGTGTTTAAATTGTTGGAAAAGCAATAAATATTATTTTTTTTTAAAAAAAAAACATCTCAGAGAGCGTCTGTGGGAAAAGGAGGTTTTTTGCTTAGCTCCAGATTCACTTCCTCTCACTGTCTCACTTCTTTCTCTTGCACAGTAATACACAGCCGTGTCCTCTGGTTTCAGGTTGTTCATTTGCAGATAAAGGAGGCTTTTGGAATTGTCTCTGGAGGTGGTGAATCTTCCCTTCACTTTATCCAAGTAGTAAATCCTATCTGAATCATACTCTATCCTTGCCACCCATTCCAGGCCCTTCCCAGGAGCCTGTCTCACCCAGCTCATCCAATAGCCACTGAAGTCGAAACCAGAGGCTTGACAGGAGAGGGGGAGGGATTCCCCAGGTCTCTTGACATCTCCTCCAGATTCCTTGAGCTGGATTTCTGACTGGACACCTGGAAGTGAAAATACTATAAAACTCAGAAGGTTGACAGGAGAGGCGGAGGTAATCCCCAGGTTTTTGGTGTCCCCCCCCCCGACTCAACCATTTGAACTTCCGATTCGGCACCTGGAAATAAAGGCATTTTAAGTCGCTTGTCCATACTTCTGCTAGTGTTGTGCCTAGAAAAACACAAGTCTGAGCGGTTTCACTACTTTCCAAGGGGAAACCCCCT